TATTAACTTATTGTTGCGCGTGTGTTTACCTGTGTCTTATGCGTACCCCGTCCGATCCTCGTGTGTAATTAGCTTACGTAAATCTCCCACCGTGTATGCGTCTTACAGTTGAGCGTCTGACAACCTCGTGTTTCCTCTATATATACTGATTCGGTGCTCGCTGTGTGCTTGATGTAATCCATTTCAGGACTGCTAATAAAAAGCGTGTTATCCCCGGCAAGCCAGTGTCCGTCTCTTTCTCTGCTCCCGCGATGCCTCGGTCCGCCCGACGCTACAATGCTTTTAGTTGTTTTCACAGTTTAAAGTCAATGTTCTCTTTTGATGTTTATTGTAAAAATTAGTAGCTAATTCTGCAAAAGACTTAAAAATATCCTGTGGTTTTTACGGAAAAAACTGGCAGCTGTGGTTACCAGAATAATTTTGTAAAAAAAAAAAAAAAAAAACTACGGTAAATATGTAAACAGCTTTACACAACAGCCTGTCAATTTCACATACCAAAACTGTAACATTTTACATAGTGAATTTGTAGGTTCAACATCATCTTTCTGTTAATTTAACAGGGCCATGCTGCTGTTGTACCACTTATTTCAGTAAAATTTACATCTAATCGTTGCTTATTCTATACTGAAACCGAGTAAACTTTCCATGTAGTTGGTGGTTGTTTTACATTGAAATCCTGTAAAATTTACAAATATTTCCGTAAAGTTGTTTACACGTAGGCCTACAGTATTTTTTACAGAATAATTCTGCTAACCACAGCTGCCAGCTTTTTTCCGTAAAAACAACAGGATTTTTTTTACAGTGTGTGCTTCTCAATGAAAAGGTTTAATGAGTGTTTATTTACAATAATAGATCTTTTGTTTTTATTTTTTCCCCCTAATTATTATGCTTTTGTTTTTCAAATAACGGCAGTTGTGGTTCACCCTAAATGAATTGTCTCCCTTTTTAATTGCTCAAATTAAGTGACTTGTTTATTAAACTGCGGCTTTAGGAGTGTTGGATTGCAGACTGGTGTTGTGTGAAGATGTGTCATGAAGAACCGGACAGCCTTTCTTAAGAAAAGTGTAGGGCATGAATTAATCACCAAAAGTAGTTCACTCAAGCTATAAAACATACTTGGAACATGTTACGTAAAGTAAGGTTCCCAACCTAATTGGCTGCCCTTCAACTGCATAATAAAAAGTCAGAATAAAAACATGCAGGTCGTGCATTTGAAATACGTTCTTTTAGGGCCAAAAAAAGGACACCCAGGAAAGCTGAGACGCGACCGGCGCGTCACCGCATCGCTTTGCACGAAAGGTGCAACGCTTGCGTGACTTCCGCGTCGTCACGGCAACGGTCCGTGGTTTTGTCCTCTTCTTTTGTGGTAACCAGGCAACGGGCTCAGACGCTAAAAGGGGCGTATATTTTTAAGTCACTCCGCAGCGATGTTTACTCTTCTAGAAGAACCGAAAGAGGGCGGCGGTCGGGGCAATGCAGGAAACACGCTCTGGGATGCTGACGGCCCGGTTTGGGAGAGTACAGAAAGGCCCCGTGTCTTAATTTGGCCCCGCGGACAAGCCGCGGAGTCCAGCCCGTTATCTCAGCCCCCGAATAAATGTCAGAGAAACGCACGGAAGCACCTGCGCTTTATCTCCTACAGACAAGATGATCTTATTACGCTTTATCTCCCAATCCTCCAATTGGTGTAAAACTCCCCCGTAAAATGGGAAATTAAGAGTGACAACTGCCTGCAGGGATCCATTTGCTCTAACAATGCCAATAAACAGACAGGCGAACGCCTGATATTTGCGGTGGCGTTTTAATACAAGCAGAATTTCTGTTATGCGGGAGACTGTCGGTTTTTTGGGCCAGCGGTCATTTCCAACCGGATCGCGTCTGATAATAGCCGCGGTCCACCTGCTCCGAAGACCCGCCCCCCCCCTCCGCCCCCCAAGATCCCGGGCGACTTGAGCGCTACCTCCAGCAGGGCGCGGCGATCGAGCTGTTCGCTTGGCGTTTCTCTTTGCCGGGGAATCGCAGGCGGAGAGGCGGAGCGGTGACCTCTCGGAGAGTCACTGCCCCGGGGTGCGTTTCCCGAAACCATCGTTGCAGCAACTGCCGTCGTTGTTTGGGAAACGCACCCCCGGCTGATACAGGTGTTCCGGGCAATTCGTTTTCCCTGTGTTTCCCCTGTCGCGCGCTGATTTGTACACGGTTTCGCTGTTGTTTTCATGTCTTTTTACAAAGCTCTTGAGGTAAACAAGCCATATATTTTAAAACATCACATGTTTTTTGTTTTTACAGATAATAAATTAAAGTATTTCATTCGCTGGATAGAGATATTTCTTGATGAAAACGGTATGAATGTATTGATGAAAATTTCAGACATTTCACATACCTCTTTGCTTTAATATTAGGGGAAACATTATTTCCTGATAGACAGGGGAAACATAGGGAAACCGAATTGCCCGGAACACCGGTAACGACACGCGGAAAAATTAAGCACGGAGTAGGCTTTAAACTGACGCTTTCCACCTTTTTTTCATTATAAGTTTCAAGCAATTTTACTATTAACGCCAAAATAGCATTATGTACGGTTTAAACGCCCCCTTTCAAGTGCGATGGTTATTAAAATTATTATTTCTCGTGTAATTCAATAAAACCCAACTGTTGCTGCACGCTTCATTTAATTTAGTTACATTAAAAACGGGGCAATTGTGTTCTGCACCATCTGCTGTAATTTGCACTTATTTATTGAATGACAAACGCGTGTTTGTCAAGATTTGTCATGTAATGACCCGGATAACTAATAGACATTTCTGTTTACTTACATGGTATTTTAAAACTTAAACATTACTGTATATAGGAGCTAACGAACTTGGACTATGCGCACTTTAATATTAGATCAACAGCCCTGCTGTGATGACTACGTGCGGGCGAGCGGGGAAACAGGCGAGAGCCGTAAATGCGGGTAACGGGGTTTTATTTAGGGCTGACAAGACGACTGGGGAGCACATGGCAAACCACATCAATGACAGACCTGGGGAAAACGGACTCAGACACGGACTAAATACACAGGACAAGCCGAAAATAACAGGCAACAGGTGATCACAATCGGGAATTAACACGAGGTAACGAGGGGGGCGTAGCACACAGGAGGATCGGTCGAGCCGGGTGTGACAGAACCCCCCCCCAAAGGCGCGCAAAACAAGAGCAAAACATCAGCGAGACACAGGGAACAAAACCAAAACACAGAACAAGTACAGGGACAGGAAGTACGACAAGACCCGACACAAAACAGGGATGCCGATGAGCCGAGGCACGGGGACCTGGAGGTGGCCGACGAGGCGTTGGAGGAGAGACCGTAAGGGGGCGACGAGCCCCCAGAGAGGGACCTGCAGGGGACAGCCAAAGGACCTGCAGGCAGCTGCTGAGCCACACCCGGGAAAAGCGAGGGCGAGCCAGGGGGCAGGGTGGGCGGTCCCGGTCCCTGCGCCTATGTCCTCTTCCCTTCCAGGACACAGATATTCGGGGACCCGGTTGGGCTCCACCACATTGGGGTGATGGTGGAGGAGTCTGTCCACCACAGGAGTCCCTGGGGCCTAGCAGGTAGATCTCCGAGGGGTACCATTTTGCACTTCTCAGGAAGTGAAAGACTGAGAGCAAAACCAGCTGCAGCGGAAACCACCGACTCTGGGCCAGCAGGGGGCGCCGCAGCGGGAACCTCGATGGGTAGCACGGTAGCCGGCGGGACAGGCAGATCAGAAACATCAAGAGGCGCCAGGATCGGCACCGCAGGAGCAGACATTGCCCCTTTAAAAGTTCTGGGTACCCAAACCGTGCTGACCCCTTTATAAGCTAGGCGTGCCTCTCGGAAATGATACGTAAATGCGGGTAACGGGGTTTTATTTAGGGCTGACAGGACGACTGGGGAGCACACAGCGAACCACATCTATGACAGACCTGGGGAAAACGGACTCAGACACGGACTAAATACACAGGACAAGCCGAAAATAACAGGCAACATGGCACACAGGAGGATCGGACGAGCCGGGCGTGACACCAGCAGTCTTAGAGGCTCAGCCCCATGAAAAATAAACCGACGTGTCGGGTCTTGTTTTTGAACCATCGCGATGAAAGCCGCAGATGATATATCTTTCATGAGACCGCCGGGCGGCGTGGTGGGTGGCTGTTTTCAAGCCTGCATCCCTGTTTTTTCGGGGGGTGGGGGTAACATAACGGAGGAGGATATTGGTTTTACAATTATACCTGTTAACATCTAAATTAGACAATGATTTGGTTGTTTTTATTGTTGTCCCTCTTCCAACAAACTTTTTGTGTAAAATGATCCACACTGCATGTCTCTGGATTGTACAGTATCACCTGCACCTGTCAGGAGTTTAGTGTTAAATATCAGAATGTTTTAGGAAAAGTCTATCAAGCTGAACTTCTTCCCATGTAGGTTTCCTCCAAGTGGCCCAGTTATGATGGATGGATGTTAATTGAACTCTCACTGGAAACTCAATATTATTACGTCATATTCAGCTTTGAATTTTCTCCGGGTAATAAGATAGATAAATGTCCCCAGCAGGGATTTCTGTTGCTGAATTATCAAAAATTCCATTTAGCATTTATTGTGTTGACGTGCAGTTAGCTGTTATATATTATGTCTATCCATTGCTGTATTCATCTTTTGAGAGCACTGGGTCACAGTGGGGAGGTGGGACGATTCCAAGGGTCCCCAAGTGGAATGTAATTGGATTGATCTGGTTTGGGGGCCCAATATGATATGCTTTCATCGGGCCCAAAATCACTACTGGTAGAAAGCTGGGAAGAAGCAAAAACATGGACTGTCTGAGGGTCCACAAGGACCGGCTTGGAAACACTGCTTCAGCTCATTGGATGAATTCTTTTGCCAGGATGTGTTTTTTGGTCGTTCATGTCACAGCCTGGGTTAGAGCCCTGATTAGGCTGACCCCCTCTGTGTTTGGACTGAAGCTCACTGCTCTACATTGCAGGACAGTGGGGATGATGCCCACAGGATTGCCCCATCCCCAGTGGTGCACGTGCGCGGCCTTTGCGAGTCCGTGGTGGAGGCCGATCTGGTGGAAGCCCTGGAGAAATTCGGCACCATCTGGTACGTCTCCTCAGCTTCTTGCATTTCTGTGATGATGACATAATTTCCGCACCGTGGTAGATCTGCAAGTAGAGATCCAGACATCCAGATTTAGTCTAAGTTATGTGTAAGTGGAGTTTGCACATGGGTGTAAATTAAGTGGGAGTGGGAGGTTGTAACCCCCCCTCCCCCACTAATCAAAACCAGGCAATACAACCTCCTGGACCCCCTTAAATGGGTGGAGACCTCAACTCCCCCGATGCTCAACCCAAAGTTATGCCCTTGCCCACAAGGATGAAGTTTGACTTCTCATTATGTCTGTTTGGGCTTCTTCTGAAGTTAAAAGATTGCATGTTGATCTTTTTGCCTTTTTATTACAAAGTGGTAGATCTCTACTGTATCTCATAAAAACACAAACAGGTTGTACAGACAGCTAATACTGATTCATCAACAAAATCTTTAATTCTCATGTTCCTTTAAATGTATACACAAGCATTTCTGCAAGATAACTGAGAAGTACTTCACATTTGGCATTGATAGTAAAAAGCCAGTTACCCATCCATCATTGCTTATCCAGGATGGTGAGTCTGGAACTTATTCCAGGAAGCAAACGGCTGGGGCACCCTGGATGGGATGCCAATCCATTGTAAAACACTTTTTTATTTACATATCTATTTATTGATTTTTGAGTTGGATTCATACAAAACAACATACATCAATCGCACCCACCAATCCAAAGTCACAACAAAACAAAACAGAATGGAACAAAACATCTTGGCTCCCAAAATCATACATTGACAGATAAGTGACTCAGGAATTACGCAAAATAAAAAGCCAAACAGCTGAGTCTGCAGGTATCACGCGTCTGTATCATGTGATTCGCAGCTACAGTAGGATCTTTATTTAATTAGTGACTGGGCCGATAACTGGCAGATGAAATTTAACATAGACAAATGTAAGGTACTCCATGTAGGGAGCAGAAATATAAAGTATAGGTATTTTATGGGACCTACTGAAATAAAGGTAGCTGATTATGAGAAAGACCTTGGTGTGTATGTTGATGCTTCCATGTCTCATTCTCGCCAGTGCGGGGAAGCAATAAAAAAGGCCAATAGGATGTTGGGGTATATCTCCAGGTGTGTGGAGTTTAAGTCAAGGGAGGTAATGCTAAGATTATACAATTCCTTGGTGAGACCTCACCTAGAATATTGTGTGCAGGTTTGGTCACCATATCTTAAAAAGGACATTGCGGCCTTAGAAAAGGTGCAGCGTAGGGCCACAAGAATGATTCCTGGCCTTAGAGGAATGTCATACGAGGAAAGGTTAGTTGAGCTAAATCTGTTCAGCCTCAAGCAAAGGAGACTGAGGGGGGACATGATCCAGGTCTATAAGATTCTAACAGGTTTGGATGCTGTTCAACCGAATAGTTACTTCAGCATTAGTTCAAATACAAGAACTTGTGGCCATAGATGGAAATTAGTGGGAGAACATTTCAAACTGGATTTAAGGAAGCACTTCTTTACACAGCTTGTAGTCAGAGTATGGAATAGTCTTCCTGATAACATAGTGCAAGCTGAATCTTTGTGTTCCTTTAAATCAGAGCTAGATAAGATTTTAACAACTCTGAGCTATTAGTTAAGTTCTCCCCAAGCGAGCTCGATGGGCCGAATGGCCTCCTCTCGTTTGTATAGTTCTTATGTTCTTATGTTATTATGAACCCCTTTGTAAGGATAACAGAGATGTCTAACCCACTGTATATAAAACCGTTCGGGTAGAAGCAAGTAAACTACCTATGAAAATATATGATCTAACAGGGAACCTGATTAATCGATGCTGTGCTTAAGGTTTTTTTGATCCTTAGATCTTGACTGGCCATCTTTCATCCTAATTTCATCCTATTTTTTGTTTTAATGAAACATTTCCTCAATCTCTTGGTTCTAGTTACAGTGAAATGGGTTTAAAAATACATTAAATTTTAAAACTAATCAGACTGGGAAATTCCTTACATTGGCGCCATTAATCCGTAAATGGTTCTAACGACAGAAGTTTTGTGCATTTATACCATAATTTTTTAGTGGTTTTAAATGTAATAAAACAATCTAGTGAGATCATGTTCCATCAAGGTGTTTAAATGATTCTGCTATCCAGAGTTTTCTTAATCTAATGGCATATTTTTAGCTTGCTTTTTTTTTTTTGCTGTTTTGGAAAAACAGTTGCTTTGAAAACCAGGAGATGGCAAACAGGAGCTTGCTTGATCTATGGTTGGGTAAATGGTCTTGCTGGGTAAATGGAGAATATCTCCATGTGTACCAGAGTAAAACCTCATGTCAGATGCATCAGCTATGGCATTTTTTTTAAATTAAAAAACATCATCAGATAGCAGACTGAATCAGATCCCACACTGGCTGTGGTTTACTGAGTAGGATATAGAGGGGACATGCATGTGGTACTTTTGGGATATGGACCATATTGGGTAATTACAGTGAGTCCCTGGGCTCCTGCTGATGCAACCGGGCACAACTACAGCCGTCTCTGCTAATCCTTGCTTTAAGGGCCTTTCACGCCACGATCTACAGGACAGACACGTCCATGGGCTTCCTGTCTTCAGTCTTAAGGTGGTGTGGAGATCGCCTGTGAGGCTATTAACGGCACAACATGCTGAGAACATGCTGCAGCCTATCTTAGCATTGGCTGTGCTCTCCGAAATAATAGCATTGTTTCTAGTTTAGCTGCTTAACAAAATTTGGCTGCTTAATGCTTGGAGAGCGTTAACTGAATAATTACCCCGTGAAGAAGAATGTGTAGTTGGACATAAAAACACCTGAAAGTGGCATACAAGCCATGTTTGTTTCAAGGAATTTCATTATTAGTGAGCTTTCACTTGGGTGCGTTTATTACAGAGGGTCACCAGTGGCCCGCCGGAGGATGGTAGTGTCTGATATTTCTGCTCCGACAATGACACGGACTCCCTGTCATCTGAGCGGCAGGACAAACACTGACGTCTTCACTTTGGCTCCCCCGCAGCTATGTTATGATGATGCCCTTCAAGCGGCAGGCCCTGGTGGAATTTGAGGGCCTGGAGAGTGCAGACAAGTGTGTGGCGTGTGGAACCAGTGAGGCCGTCTACATCGCAGGCCAGCAGGCCTTCTTCAATTACTCCACCAGCAAGAGGATCACCCGGCCCACCAACTCGGACGACCCTAACAGCGGGAACAAAGTGCTGTTGCTGTCCATTCAGAACCCCCTTTACCCCATCACCACAGTAAGAGCCTAGAACCCCTGCTAATCCATCACCATAGTCACAGCTTAGAACCCCCTTTAACCTAAAAGCCCCTCTGCTCCATCACTACAGAGAATGTAAAAGCGACTCTGCTCCGTCACTACAATGAGCCTAAAAGCCCCTCTACCCCATCACTACAGTGAACCTAAAAGCCCCTCTGCTCCATCGCTATAGTGAGAACCTACAAACAGAACCGTGTCTACTCCATCACCATGGAGATAACCTAGAAACGTGGAAGCCCTTTACTCTAGAACAGGACAACTGAAGTCTAAGACTCCCTCCACCCCTTCTCCACATTACCAGATTAAAGGCATAGAACCTGCCTGATATCCCCGACACTATGAACCCACATGGCACTTGACCAGGATCTGTCCTACATGTCTCTGCATGCGCTCAGCCTCGACAGAATGTAGAATCCACAAACTACCTGCTAAAATATGGAAATATATCAGTGACTCAGCACTAATTAAGCTGCAATACCCAGAAAGGCACACAGGCAAGGTCACACAGGTAAGGTCATGCAGGCAAGATCACACAGGCAAGATCACGCAGGCAAGATCACACAGACAAGGTCACACAGGCTAGGTCACACAGGCAAGATCACGCAGGCAAGGTCACGCAGGCAAGATCACACAGACAAGGTCACACAGGCTAGGTCACGCAGGCAAGGTCACGCAGGCAAGGTCACGCAGGCAAGGTCACGCAGGCTAGATCACGCAGGCAAGGTCACGCAGGCAAGATCACACAGACAAGGTCATACAGGCTAGGTCACGCAGGCAAGATCACACAGACAAGGTCATACAGGCTAGGTCACGCAGGCAAGATCACGCAGGCAAGGTCACGCAGGCAAGATCACACAGACAAGGTCACACAGGTAAGGTCATGCAGGCAAGGTGACGCCTGGGATGCTTTCTGATTTCTATGGCACTGTAGTCGCATATTTCAATGCAGGGAGTCCTGGTTTTGCTCTCAGTCTTTCTGCTTTCATTTGCAATACAGGTTGCTTTTTGGGAACAGCTTGAAAAAGGCATCAAGTTGATGTTTTGTTCTTTTTTTCCTGAGAAGTGCAAAGCCTTTTTCCTGCATAGGGAGTTCTTCAGTCAAAAGCAATGTTGAATTTTCCAAGTCCCTGCTCTGTGGATGACATTTGAATCTTTGTATCGTAATTCCATTTAAAACTCCTTGATGCGGTAAAGTCCCAGGGAGATCGGTGTCCTCATCACACCTGATCACAGGCGCTCACTTGCCAGCTAGCACGTTGGGCCAAATGAGAGGTGTTCCCTGCACAACCCTGAGGTCGAGTGGCTCGAGTGACCGCACACGCGTGACGGCACGTCAGGCAGGGGCACAGCCGACTCCGGTTACTGCCGGGTGAGCAAGATCAGGTCACATCATCCCAGTGCCATAATGGGACTGGCCAGAAATGTGCCGTGCTGGTTGTGGGGGGGTTAGTCTGTAAACCAGTCGTTCTCCCTTAGCTTTGAGGAGCCCAATTGTTATCCAGGGGAAATAAAACATTTTTAGCAATACATTTCTCATGAAGAAAACTTCACTAGTTTGCTCACAATTTTTTTTTTTACCAGAGAACATAAAAAGCCCTGGCTTTATGCCTGTAGACATTGGTGTGTGGTGATTGCAGTGTGGTATGTTGATTTAGTACCATCTTGAATTCTCCTTAAAAACCCGCTGAGCTCCAGTGTGACCGAAAGCTCCAGTAAGATAATCAAAAAACTGCAAACGAGGCCCCTCCAGTTACCCCCAGTCAGCCCGGTTCAGGGATCAGCGGGTTGGTTAGTCCCCATCCACACATCCTGTCTGTATAGAGTCCACACCAGCTTTGGAGAAATGCTTCTCCTCCTGCACCAATCCCAGCCTCCCATCTGCTCTTCCGGCACATTCCGGCACTGTCTCTTGGCTTCCTTCCCTCAGGCAGAGAGACACAAAAATCCCGTTGTCCTTAAGGATGCAGTCCTCTAACACTGAACGTCATGTTTAAAAACAGCTCCACAGTGTTACCTTGTATTCTGCTTGGCTTCTCTCAGGCTCTATGGCCCTGCTTACACTTGATTTTAAAATGCATCTTGGGTGATCGGATCATGAGTGGCCGGCAGTAAATCCAAATGTCAATGACCACCAAGACACATTGTGATCCGGTCACTCAAACCACTTGCCGAAGTGGTTTGGGACACATTTGTAGTGTAAACGCTAATGTGTCCCAACTAGGACGTCACAATAACTGCACAGGTCAGTGATGAAATCTGAACACAAGCTAGACACCTTGGAGAAGCATGATAGTCACATGATAAACAGCAATATGTCTCATCTATCTACTTGTGTCTCGGGGGAAAGGATCACATTTTAAAATCAACTGTAAACAGGGCCTGTCTTGTAAAAAGCCTTTGAATGTTTCTTGCAGCCTGTGGTTTCAAAGAGTCATTGCTAACTTCACCTCATCCTCATGCTCTCTTGCAGGATGTTTTGTACACGGTGTGTAACCCTATCGGCAGCGTGCTGCGCATCGTCATCTTCAAGAGGAATGGGATACAGGCCATGGTGGAATATCCTTGATTGATCTCGCCTAGGCAGCCAGTTTTGTGGCAGGATGTGCCTGGGAAGAAGGGTGCTTAGGACCCCAAAACCTGGATTTTCGGGAGGCAAGCCTCTCTAAAATACAGTGGGCCGTGCCTCAGCCGACATGAGCTGCACCCCGGGGCTTTGCAGGAAGGATAAAGGAAGCGATGCCCATAAAGCTGGAGTGAGTTTGGCCAGCTCCACTCCAATGGCGTGTCACACACTCTTAATGCGTATATTAAAGCTGCCTGTCTTCATGTTCCGGAAGAATCCCTGCTTCCATAAGCCCCTGGGGCTGCAGTTTAATACCTGTTAAATATACCCTCCCCCCCACCCCATTTTAAAACTGGCTTGCCAGCAACTTTTAATTTCTGTGGCACTAAACTCTGGCCGCCAGGCATGCATTTTAGAAAGTGCTTTGCAGTACATTTTCCTTTTTTTATTTACAATATTTGCACAAGTGCCTTTAGCCTTACTCTCAGCATTTCAGCAGTTTATCGCGGAGGCCTGGCCTATGGAACGAGCGACGTATTAGCTGTCGTCTGTGGCTTTTTTATTTTTGTGCGCTGGGCACGCCTGATCGTTCCTGTCACCTCGCATTCCAAATTTGGCCGTATCGGTTTCAGAAGTCTGACTGGCTCACATGTTCGGCTCGCGCCGGTTTCCTGTGGGCTTTTCAGGCTAGAATATCGAGCCTTGTGTAACATTTCAGCTACTGAGTATCTCACAAGCTAAAATTAGAAGTTGTTGCAGAACTACACTCGTGCTCCATTCTCCTTGGGTTTTCCTCCTTGACCGAGGCTCACGTTCGAGACGGTCCAGAATGCCCAGAAAGCCAAGGCGGCTCTGAATGGAGCGGACATATACGCAGGCTGCTGCACCCTGAAAATTGAGTACGCCCGGGTAAGTGCACCCCCCCCCCCCCCCCCGCTGGCTGAGCGCATCGTTTTCATGTGAGCATCGTGGGGGTGCTGGGATCAGAGACAGTACTGCTTCCACTCCCCCATCACGCATATCATTCAGCACGCGCCACACATTCCGGGAGGAGGCACACCCCTCCACCTGCCCCCCAGACTCAAGCCACATTGCTCACATTATTATCTCTGTCTGAACACTCACACAACTACACACTACTCCCATTCAGTGGTACAAGTACGCACTACTCCCATGCAGTGGTACGAGTATGCACTACTCCCATTCAGTGGTACGAGTACGCACTACTCCCACGCAGTGGTACGAGTACGCACTACACCCACGCAGTGGTACAAGTACGCACTACTCCCATTCAGTGGTACGAGTACGCACTACTCCCACACAGTGGTACGGGTATGCACTACTCCCACACAGTGGTACGGGTATGCACTACTCCCATTCAGTGGTACAAGTACGCACCACTCCCACACAGTGGTACAAATACGCACTACTCCCACACAGTGGTACGAGTATGCGCTGCTGCCACTCAGTGGTACAAGTATGCCCTACTCCCACTCAGTGGTAATATATGCACTCGCCCATTTAGTGGTACAAGTATGCGCTACTAACACACAGTAGTACAAGCACGCACTACTCTCATTCAATGGCACAAGTACACACTACTCCCACTCAGTAGTACAGGAATGCACTACTCCCACTCAGTGGTTCAAGTATGCACTACTCCCACGTAGTGGCACGAGTATGCACAACTCCCACTCAATGGTACGAGTATGCACTACTCTCACACAGTGGTACAAGTGCGCAGTACTTCCACTCTACTGACACACATGCAGTCGTACAAGTATGTGCCACCCCCACTCTCTCTGTCAGTCTGCCTGTCTGCCTGGACACACATACAGCAGTGCTCTGTTCTCTTCCCCCTGTAGCCAACACGCCTTAACGTAATACGAAATGATAATGATAGTTGGGACTACACTAAGCCGTATCTGGTCAGGCGAGGTAAGACCACTTCCTTTTGTCTCTGAGTTCTCATTTCTCTTTCCTTGCTTTTCTGTTTCAATGTGTCGCTCACTTTGTATCTCTGCTTGTTGTTTAACAATCGATTGCCCTTGAAAGGCTTTCAGATCTGAGGAGTTTCTGTCTTCTGCCAGTCAGAGTAGCAGCCCTTTCACCAATGCAGGCTCCACTCGTAAAAACTTTAGCTGCATCTTGGGGCCTACTGCTTCAAAGATTTAGAGTTAAGATTCCTTTCTGTTATCTGCCCTGTTCCTCATTGCTAGTAAAACTGATTGTTTGTCTATGGCTTTTGCCTGCATCAGCCAAAAGGAGGAGAAATCACCTGCCCATCTTCAAATGCATTAAAAAAACACCCTCTTTGGTAAGCCAAGATGTAGGACTACAATATCTCCTTCATAGAACTGTCAGAATTGATTAAAAGCATAAATAACAGAGACTTCCCAGCTCCCCTGCATGCTCTATCCCTGAGGACGTGAAGCTGTCCCTACGACTCTAGCACCCCCTATTGCTTGGTGTATCGAAGCAGAGGGGACTCGAACCCCAGACCTGCAGTCCATCTAGCAGCATGCCATGGTCAGCAAGACAAGGGATTAATGAGTAGGGGTCCATTATCTCCAGGCAGCACACTCACAGCTGGGACCTCGGCCTCTTACTGCCACCATCACGGGGGCCACATGGTGGTGGTGGTGGGGTGAGCAGGGGGGGGGGGGGATAACTGATCCTGTACCTCTACTAGTCACAGCAAACAGGGGGTAAGAGAGGAAGCGAGAGAAAGCCTGACACCTATCCTGACTGCACGCTCCACCTCAAACCCCTCCACTGCCAGAAGACCCACGTCAGAAGACTTTATGAGGACCTCCTTTTGACTTTGACTTCATAGGGCACAGTCTTTGTGAAGATGATTGGTTTCCCCAACCACTACGGCAACACCCCTGAAGGAAATGCTTCCGAAACTCACATTAGCACATAAGGGTCCCAAATGCCCTCAGCCAGCAAAGACTCCAACGCGTAAAATCGACTGATGGTGGAACAGGTTCAAAACCCTGTGAGAACAATTCAAATACAACAGGACTTAGCTTTTCACTAAGTACACATGTCCTGACAAAGGCAATCATTTGTTTTATGCTGTCGAGTCTTTGTTGCTATGGGCGATGGCACCTTCAAACTAAAGATATAGATTTAAGGCGGTCTTGGGAAACCTGCTACAAATGTAGGCAAAGCTAATCTTCTCTGGTGGGGCACTGGCATCGGCGAGAATGCAAAATGGACTCTGATGATTCAGCAAGACCTCTTTATTTATTTTTTTACGGTGATAATCTGTAGCAAATCACCAGAGCTGGGTCCCACCGTCAAATATTCATGAGAGGTGGGGAGCTGTCAGCGATGGCCCCGAGGCCTTTGATCGGCACTGGCGTGATTAAATGATGACAGCATAAATGGAAGGTTGCAGCTTTTAGATCCTGCGGCACCAAAACCTGGGGAACTGGTAACTTGGCTTGGGTTGCTTCAGGGGTGATTCTAGGATTTTTTTAAAGTGGGGGGCATAAGCCGGGCCAGAATTCATACAGAGGAGCCAACCTTATCATTAGCCAGTAATATGTTTTGAATCAGTGAGTGACAGGGACGAGAGCACCCCAGGGGCCAATCAGATTTCAGCTGGAGCCAGTGGCCCTGTGGCCCCGCCCCTGTATATGCCCCTGGGTAGTTCACAGTCTACCAGATTTCTTCTCACTATACAGTATCTGGTTGCCTATTTAAATCTGTCTGCATAGAGAATTCTCTCCCAGAGTGCGCAAAGCTTTATGGTTCTTGACTGTTTACTGGAGCTGCAAGTTTTAGATGTGAAGCTGCGAATTGTTCTGTTTCTCTGGATATTAACGGATGTGGAGGGCAACTTGTCTCCAGACTCCCAGCAGCTGTAGTTGTCATATACCCAAACGGCTTGTTAGGATGCTCCAACTTACTTCGAAAATGTGGAATCCTACCAAGGTTAAAAACTCATTTCGAAGGCCCTTGGAGAATGGCCTCCCATGGGCAGGATATTTACCCAATCTAATTTATTCCGTGACCGTCTTCTGGACATCCTTCAGCTTTGCACGGGGGGTAGCAGGCTTGAAAGCTTTCCCTTTAATGTACACAGTTTGCTTTCCAGCATGCCTGCAAGCAGTCTGGGCCCTACTTTCAGAGCAGACTGAGATTGGAATGGCGGGGTGGAGGTAGGGGGGGGGGGACTTATTTGACCTTGATGTCACCTGGAGGCTCGTCCCCTATATTGTGCATTAATGAAGTTCTGCTATCCAAGATGGCCCAGCAGCCTCTGCCTAAATCAGCTTAGCTGTTAGCCTTTGTGCAGTGGTGTTCAGTACCTTTCCGGTGGGAATTAATCAGGGATGAATCCAGGATTTGATCCTTGGGGGGCGGGATTCAGCCCCCAGAAAAAATATGGGATGCTACCTCTTACCTTGGGTACCCATGATAAAGTTGGCCGACTAAGGGGCACGAAGCATATACAAAAATATGGAACCGATTCACAAATGGTTTTAGAAAAATAATTTATAAGGGGGATTTAGACAAAAAATTAAGGAACTGAAGCAACCCCCCCCCCTCCAAAAAAAAAAGGTCTAAAACAGCCATAATACACATTAATTAATACACTGCAATCTGCAGCCTCCTCAGCAGACCAGGGCTGTAACCATCATCAGGTTACAGCAGCTAGGTTGTGGATGTGCCCCCTGCTGGCTGCATTTCGGGTGCCGCCCGAGCTGTGATGACTGTGATAAGCAATTGCTGTCATGGTTATGACATGGTACAGCCCTCCCAATTGACCAAACCTGACCGCCACACACACACAAGCAGAAAGTTCTCCGACATCATCCCCAGTGTTGCTTCAAAGTCATTTTTGGAGGACAGGCAGGAAGGACAGTTTTTTTCTGAGCTCAGCCAATGAGGGGCCGGTAAGCAGGACTGTAGATATGGAATTCTATTATTCCCCCTCAAGAAAGGCACTCTGGCTGGGTAAATGAATATACTGTAGAAAAATTTGCGCCTTGCACAAATACATTTGGATAGGATGAGGACGATCTTGGGATCACTGAAAAGGAAATCTGAGCCCCACTGTGACGTTTCGATCCTCAGCCCCGAGGATTTTCCATTAAACATGCAAGCCGCCCGATCTCGTCTTTATCCGCCAAATGATCAGCACACAAACACCCGCAAGATGACGAGGCTCCAAAGGGCAGCGGTGCTCCTGGGCCGGGGGGGACTCCAGGCCGCAGCAGGGTCTGGGACTAAACCCCGCGTTGTAATGTGAGCAGACAGAGAAAGAACAAACACAGGCCCCTAACCCCCCAACCGCCCCCTTAAACCAGCATTAAGCTACTTTCATTTGTTGTGACAGCAATGTAGATGTTTCATTTTATTTAAAAACTATTTTGACTGTTTTGATATGCATTAAGGTATATTGTTTTTTATTTACGTAACATAAAAAAATAAGCTTCTTTCATTGAATTTATTCTCATTGTTCTTTTCTGACTTGCCTTGTGAGGAGTCATTTTGAAGGCTGCGTAATGTACCTTTTATATGTTAATAATCCGGCTCATCTGGGTCACCCTGCCAGTACCGCTGAGCAGTAATAGTGGCCATTAAACAGCCTCTGCCACCTCCTGTTCCTGTGAGGCAGCCAGTGGCGGAAACCCATCGCGGGGGGCTGCAGGTGATTGGACGGGGAGGCGGCCGCTGGCTCCAGGCTTCATCTCCGCGTGTCCGCCCCGTCCCCCTTTACCCCGTCTTGCCCCCCACCCCAGCTTGTTGCTCCGCGCAGCGCTGTTTCACTCCCACTTCTCTTTCAGAGCAGGGAAAGGGCAGGCAGCGGCAGGCTATTCTGGGGGAGCATCCGTCGTCCTTCAGCGACAATGGCTATGGTGAGCGCTCCTGCCTGTTTGTCTGCCGTAACGCTTTAATTATCACGCTCTGCAACCCCCTCCTCGCGTTTACATTTAAATGAAACGTCGCGAAGCGGCAAGGAGCTTTAAGAAATGCCACCTCGGCCTGTTTATTAATGCAAAATGAGAATTCTGCGTTTCGTCTGCTGGGTGCTTATGTCACAGGTTTTTCCTAGACTTGTTTGTTAGATTTTGTGTTTAAATATAATTACTCAAGCGTAACTTTCAATATTTAGTGTATTGTAGTTTTTAAGTGGTATTCTTGCCATTGTGTGTACATATGTGTATTCTTATGTATAATATACACTGATAAGCCTCAGCATTCAGCTGAGCATTTTGGGAAAGCAGCACTATAACAAACTGGTTTTCTGCAGGCCTGGAAGAAATAGGTGTGGAAATGATGTATAATTATGTCTCTTTTTTTCCCTCCCGTTTGACAAGCTCACACTGTGCCAAGCTGTTATTCTTTTCTTTTCCCATGTGCACCTCTTCCAGGGTCACACTGCCCCCTGCTGCCTCTGCCCAGCAATAACAGGTACAAGAGAGGTTCACACGACATCCCCGAGGTGGTGGCCTACCCACTGCCCCAGACCTCATCCTACATCGGCCACTCCTCCAGCTCGGTCGCCATGGTGAGCGGCTTGCACCCCACCAAGATGAACTGCACCCGCATCTTCAACCTCTTCTGCCTGTATGGCAACATTGAGAAGGTCAGGAGCACGTCTGTGTAACACGTCAATGTACTTCAGCTGCTGTCCATGGTCTCGTATGGATTACATTTTGAATGTGGCCTTGGGCATCCGCAGGTGAAGTTCATGAAGAGCGTGCCGGGGACCGCGTTGGTGGAGATGGGGGACGAATACGCAGTCGACAGAGCCATCACCCACCTCAACAGTATCAAGGTCTTCGGCAAGCGCCTCAGTGTCTGGTGAGCCTCACCTCTGCCCCTCTTTCTGTCACCCCCTGCCCCATACCTGAATACCTAGGTCAGCCCCTCCTCAGCTGTCCTGGGAAGGTGCCCTTACCAGCTTATCAGCTTATGGCACTGTTCCACTGCTACCAAGACCCAAGCTCTATTCGAACCGTGCTGCAAACAGTTTTCCATTGTAAAGATTGTGAGGTGAACCCGAGCCGTTACTGCACTGGCATGGCCCTGCTTAACAACATGACCAAACCCAGCTGATTTCATCTGATTGGTCGAAAAGCATGCGAATACCAGTGTTCTGTGCATGGATTATCTGAAGTAAAAAGGTGTATATTCTATATACTGTTCCTTATTAGTGGTATTGCACATTGTGATGTATTAATGCATTCCCGATTACTCAGAAAATTTCCAACGTCCTACTTAAAAAAAGTACTATAGAACAGCTAAATTGAATGGATATGTAATGCAAATTTATGCAAGTGAATGCTTATTCTGTTAGCGTTTGATGTTTGCATAACACGCCGATTCTCACAGATGTGCTAGAAAATTAGGAAATTAGCACATGTCACTGTCGCTCTCCAAACCGAGCCAGTAAGTCTTCTACAGTGGAAAACCAAAGCAAGCTGGAACCGCATTGTAACTAGTCTTTCTTTGTGGTACAGCTTGGTTCCGGTATGCCAGTAGAAAAGCGCCATTACACACTTCCCAGTGCCTAAATCTCAACCAAACCTACCGTGTACTTATAATGGCTATTCAAAATCAACATTTATATAAATGTTCTGAATGTAATACAGATGTCCTTTGCTTTACAATGGTTCGACATATGATATTTCAGCTTCACAACGGTGCGATACCCATGCACGTTCAGTTGCGAGCGTTAGATATTGATCTGTTTCTGGGCTAGCGATATGCCGTATGATACTTTCTACTGATGCCTCACAATGGCAGCATCCATGCAGCCACACTTGCAGTCTCTGTAGCGATCGTGAGCATAAGCATCTCATAGTGTTTAGCGACATATCAGACAGTGCTTTGTTTTTTGTTTAACCAACCAAACTTGTATTCAGTGATTTTATTTTTAGTTACTGGTATTTACTTACGGAAATTATTTATTTACCTCACCACTTCTGATCAGGCTCCACCCCTTCTGAACAGGCCCCACCCCTTCTGAAACATTGGTGGCCATGTAAGGTCTCACCATGCTACACAGCTTGACACGGCCACCATTCACTTGAGTAATTCATATAAATAGATTTTTTTACTGATGCGGTGCAGATTGTGTCGCTTGGTCAGGAGATCAGCACCAAGACCTCATGGGACTTAAACCCATGACTTGTTTTTCCGCAACAGGACCAGCTCCTCATGCCACCTCCTGCTCCCTTTATGTATTAAGGTCATCTTTTAATATGAGGTTTTGTTGTTTTTTCTGGTGCTGTGTGAATGTTTCTGGTGCTGGATAGGTTTTTAAAATACTTGCGCCATCTTGCTTGCAGGGTAAAGCAGTGTTTCTTTGAGAGAGATCTCCCCTCTGGCGCCGTCACCATGCCGCTCAACCTGCCCCCCCCCCGGGGAATGAGCATGTGCCACAGCAGATGCTACCTCCTCTGGGACCCCCACACTCTCTCTCTCTCTCTTTCTCTCTCTCAATACCCAATCTGGATACGGTTGATAGGTGCACATTCCCTTTTTTTTACCTCCCAGGGTGCAGAGGATAAGCAATCTTTATTAAGCTGTCATTCCCATTCTTGTGCATCCTGAGGATATTAAGTAATGGTCGTCGTTCCCCCTGCTCCCCAGTGTGTCCAAGCAGCATGCCGTCATCCCCAGCCAGGTGTTCGAGCTGGAGGACAGCACCAGCAGCTACAAAGACTTTTCCATGACCCGCAACAACCGCTTCACCAGCGCCGGGCAGGCCTCCAAGAACATCATCCAGCCACCGTCCTGCGTGCTGCACTTCTACAACGTGCCCCCCTGTGTCACGGAGGAGGAACTGCAGAGGGTGCGTTTTGCGTAGACAGTAAGGTACAATTAATGGTCATTAGAGATGGCGGCAGTAATTAAAAATTAGCTGGACAATGCAGTGATACAGTAGCGGGGGGCTTGCGGACTGACTGGAGCGGGAGACACAGTAAGGTGCTACTCTGCTGTTTGCTTATAAAGCTGCCATCTTCTGCATTGTTCTCCTGTGTTTTCCACTGTGCATAATGATTCTGATCTATGATAATAGCCATTGTATCCCTTGCAGTATTGTTAGCTCTTCAGTATAGTAATATAAAACATATATTATCTCCATAATAAACACAGTGTCCTGGCTAGTATTGTTAGCACTGCAGCATAATAATAAGGGTAATGTCCCTATTATTATTATTAGTGCTGTAATAAGTGTAGTATTCCTGTTAGTATTTATGTTAGGTTAATAATAATGTGCAGTGTCCATATGGGATCAGTAAAGTCCATCTTAATCTTAATCGTAATCTTAGTATTGTTAGCTGTATTATAATAGGTATAGTGCTCTATCCTGGTCACTGTTCTAACAAAAACCATAGCATCTTATCCTGTGTACATTTAGCATCTTATCCTTTACTGTACATTTAGTCTGTGCATTCTATCTGCTATGCAGCTAAACCTGGCGCGTCGCTAAATCTAGTGTCATCTTACAGTGCATTTTGTGTTGTGTTTGTAAAATAGGCTGCTTGCTGAGCCAGTTAGTAATATAACTAAAATAATGTTACTATAAATATAGTTGAATAGCCAGCTTATAAAAACCTAAAAACACCATTTTTTGAATATGTAAACCCAATTTTTAAGAGTATGTTCTGCTATATACACTATATGGACAAAAGTATTGGGGCACAACTCTTAATCGAATTCAAATGTTTCATTCAGACCCATTGCCACAGGTGTATAAAATCAAGCACCTAGCCATGCAGTCAGGCTTACAAACATTTGTGAAAGAATGGGTCGTTCTTTCACAAGAGTTCTGTGAATTCAAGCCTGGTACTGTCATAGGATGCCACCTTTGCAATAAGTCAGATTGTGGTATTTTTTCCCTACTAGATATTCCATGGTGAAATGTAACTGGTATTAATGCAAAGTGGAAGCATTTAGGAACAACAGAAACCATGAAGCCGCAGGTAAAGTAACAGAGCAGGGTCGCCGAGTATGTACAAGACATTAATGCTCTGTTGACTCAGTAACTGCAGAGTTCCAAACTTCCTCTGGCATTAACTCCAGCACAAAGACTGTGCGCCAGGAGCTTCATGGACTGGGCTTCCATGGCCGAGCAGCTGCATGCAAGCCTCACATCACCAAGTGCAGTGCCAAGCTTTGGATGGAGTGGTATAAAGCATGCTGACACTGGACTCTGGAGTAGTGCAAATATGTTCTGTGGAGTGACGAATCACGTTTCTTTGTCTGGCTGTCTGATGGATGAGTGTGGGTTTGGCAGATGCCAGGAGAACGTTACCTGCCTGACCTGCTTGTGTCCGCTGTAATGTCTGGTGGGGGAGGGATAATAGTATGGGGTTGTTTCTCAGGGGTTGTGCTGGGCCACTTAGTTCCAGTGAAGGGAACTCTTAATTCTTCAGCATACCAAGTCATTTTGGATGATTCTATGCTTCCAACTTTGTGGGAACAGTTTGGGGAAGGCCCTTCTCTGTTCCAGCATGACTGTGCCCCAGTGCACAAAGCAAGGTCCATAAAGACAAGATTGGGTGAGTTTGGTGTGGAGAAACTTGACTGGCCCGCCAAACACCTTTGTGCAAGAGTTGCGGGTGCCAGCCTTCAGTGCCTGACCTCATATATGCTCTTTTGGAAAATTTCCACAGACACACTCCAAAATCTTGTGGAAAGCCTTCCCAGAAGAGTGGCAGCTGTTATAGCTGTAAAGGGGGAACTGACTCCATATTGATGCCTATGGACTTAGAATGGGATGTTATAAAAATTCCTTTAGGTGTAATGGCCAGGTGACCCAATACTTTTGTCCATATAGTGTATGTTCTTAAATACTAAAAAATAACAGTAGTTTTTTCACTCAGAGGAATATGCTGCTGTGATTTTTATTTTAACCTGATACAGTACCCTCATTATAGGAGACCTTCACCAAAAATGTGACATTTCAAATATTTACTACAAACCTACAACACACTTATTTTCACAAGAGGCAAGATCTTCTGGTCAGAATTTCTGGAAACTGACTGCTTCAAAACTTCTGAGGGATTGTTTTCTTGTAATTTACATCTCCTATTAGGTTTAAAGCCATAAATTGCTATTTGCCACTATTATACTAAAATTAACTGGTTATGTTCATGAATTTTTTATTAGAAGAATAAGGATTAACATAATAAATATATAAGGATAAAAAGGTATTAACAAGCTGCGGTAATGAATTCTCACTTTGGCAATTTAATGCAAGACTTACTATATTAAATATTTAAAAATACAAATTATTAACATGTTGTATTCATTAATTTTACTCTCGCATTTTAATATAAGGCTTAGCATATAAAACCTAGCATATAAAATATGTATGAATAGGATCAGTATTTTTTAAGGTGTGACAGTAATGTAAATTACCTACATCATCTTGTTGAAGCACTCTAAAATCAGACTGCAGACTATTATATAATAAAGCGTTAATCAGAATAAACTTGAGTAACAACAGACGGAAGTGATACATTAGCTATGAATTTTCTGTGACATGAGCATTGAATTTAAGCAGAACAGCGCCACCTTGTGTGTTTGAATTGAGACACACCTTGCCAGAAGGTATAAAGCAGGGGTCCTGGGGGGCCAGAGCCCTGTGTAGCTTAGTTCTCTCCCTGTTCCACCACAAATGATTCAGCTCAAGAGCTGTATGGTAATTAGCACAAGGAGTTGAATCAGGTGAGTTAAATGAACTTAAACCAAAGAGGGTGTAGGGCTCCGCCCCCCCAGGACTGGAGATTGACACCCCGAGTGTAAAGCCATGTTTGCTTTTCGTTCCAGTTGTGCTCCGAACATGACGTTCCCGGCTACATCAAGTTCAAAGTGTTTGATGCAAAACGTAAGTTTTTTTTATTTGCATATATGTAATTGTGAGTCACTCACGGCTGTACACAGTGTCTATCAGAATGCAGACCTCGTATTTGCATGGGCCTTTATTGGCCACAAACACCCACTACACTAGGAAGGGTGTGGGACCTCAAAGTGACTTTTTGCGTGGGACCCCAGAAGGCACAAACCCATCCCCATATACATACACACACACTTGTATTCTTATCTTTGTGGGGGCCATCCATTAATTTCTTTGGGAAAAACCTTAATCCCAGCAATGACAACCTTAACTCCTACCCAGCCCTAACCTTAACCATAAGTAACAGAACAAAATACAAGACTTTTGGCATTTTTAGTGTAGCCCTTCTTTGGTGTTGGCCTCCGCCCCCACCCGGCCTGCCTGAGTTCTAAAACGTAAATGGACGTTAGGATAATAACAAGTGGCACAGAGTTACTACTACTTCAAGTAACAAATTTTATTGACCCAAAAAAAAAACAACGAGCCACAGGCAAGGCCAAATAACGCAGAAAGGTATAAACTAAACTCAAAAACAGCTGCAATTCTAATCACTGCCTCTTAGATGAAAACATAGAAAGATACGTCTGCGCAGTCAGCTCACAAAAATGGGCCAAAAGCCCATTTACCGATACCTGCGCAAGCACCTATGATCAAGCGATACCAACCTGCGCTACGCAGCTAAATTCCCCTCCCAAGGTATTAATACCAAAACTAAGCACAAGCAGAAACAGAGTCCCCAGCTCAGAAATATAGCACAAACCCTAGGGTTGGCTAATACCCGGACAAACACAATCCACAGCACATATTACTTTCTCATAATAAACACGTTCGTTACTTTACATATACACATCACATACACAATAACAGTGCACGGGTATATTTTAAAATGGTGTTTTTCCTCCTCCATTTAAAAAAAAAAAAATCCCCGTCCACACGAACATTGTCTTCTAAAAAATTTCCATCCACACATGAAACGGCTAAAATGCGCTGTCAAAAGCATGCCAAAACAGGCGCCATTATAACTCTAACCGTACTGCCATGTTAGCCAATCAGAAGCCTAATTGCCAGTCCTGTTAAGTTGAAAACTTTCGTTACTCTACATATACACATCACATATACAATGACAGTGAAACATTACACAGCAAGCAAAAGTATTTTCCGGTGCAGGCCTGTTCAATAACGTTGGCGTGCTTTACTTCACCCCTAATGGGCATCCAGCAGTCTTGTACTCACAACCCTAGTGAAGCTTGGAAAAGTCACACATCCAGGGGATCCGCACTGCAGCAATCCAGCATTGCCGGAGGAACTGCGGGCTCTCCCGGCAGCCACACAGTGCTATCCGGTGAAATGACGTCTCGTCGCTGCAGGCCTCGGAGAAACACTTGCTTCCCCCACGTCAGTGACTCATATACGTCCCAAACTCTCCCCGTTTATGCTGAAGCCTTTGGGAAGTAAACCCTAATAGTCTTAACTATCACAGTTCCTCCAAACCAAAAAGAAATGGAGGAGGGAGGAGAAAAATTATTTGACTATTTAGCCGTGCTACACGCACTAGCCTCAGTGTAACCTCAAATAAAAAACACCTGGTATCTCTTCTGGAGCCGCACTCGCCCAGCGCTTTGCCCCTCCGTTCACGGCAGGCTAGACTCCTATTAACCTGTCCCCAGTAACTACTCAAACATTCAGGCAGAATACACTTATTGAGCAAAAGGACAACCATTGAACACTCAGCGCGGCTCCTTCTCCCTTTCACTATTCCCAGCCTACACCTCTCTTCTCCTCACGGAGCTATTCGTCCCCCCAGCTCCACCCTCTCACTCACCATAAGAGAGGAAACCCAACAGACTAGCCCCTCCTCCAATCACAGAGTGGCTTAGCAATTCCAGCCCAGCCCTGCCCAGCCATACAGCACTCCACATCCGCATGACCTACAGTATACGTCCCATCCAGACTACGCTATGGCGCACACATCCTATTAACCCAGCCTTAAAGGAACAGACACCCTAATAGGACATGGTTTAAATAAGCTAGGCTAAACCTGGGTTACACCCCCCCTTTCTAAACGTCTAGATGTCCCCATCAGACGGCAGGTACTGGGCTGTTACTCAGGCCAGCCCACTTGAACTCTGATCGTTAATATGGAATTCGATGGATGTCCCCCGACAGACATTTGTGAGCACCACAGTGACTAGGGCATTTAATGGAGTGTCACCACAATCCCTGTTCTCCCGACGCACTGTTATGATAGGCCGGTCGGATGGGTTTCCTGGCTCGTCATAGCTCAGGCGATTAGGAGGTCTAACGTCCCTCTGTCTTCTGGTGGTAACCAGAGGCGGCGATGCTAAAGGAACATCCACCTCACTATTCGCTGAGCCTGACAACCTCCTCACCCGATCCACATCATCTGCACTTTCCCCTTCACTGGAGTCATGTGTGCCAGTCTCCCCCCCCCCCCCTTTCTGGCTCACTAGTACTGACCGGGATCTCCTGGTGATCCTCCACTTCCGGATAACTCCAATACCCTTTCCTGGGTGTCGGGTCGCACAAGTAGAACTCCCCTTCCCCATCCATTTCACTCTTCTATGGGGTCAACTGGTCCAGAACACTCTGTGGGGTCAACCCCACGGCGTGTCACCCTGGCTGTAGAGGTTTCCTGGAACAGCCCATCTGGAGGAAAAGTAGGCATCCTCAGCAAGTACCCAACTGGCAAAAGGTGATCCCTGTGGAGTGTTTGGATCCTGCCTGTCCCCTTCTCTGGCCTAACCCTGTACACCGGTAGGTTTGATAATTTCTCGATGACCACATAGGGCAGTGAACCCCACCTCGCTCAGCTTTTGTTTCCCTTGCCCCCCGAAAGCACGAAGAACTCTATCGCCTACATCCAAAGCTTGGTGACGGACCCGGAGATCATATGCCCGCTTGTTCTTCTGATGATTATTGGCAGATGCAGCACAGGCAAGGTCATAAGCTGACTTCAAGTCCCGCCGCAGATCATAATTCAGATGTTTTACCGCCTCTCCACTATCTCGGAATACATCGAAACAGACATCAATCAGTAAATGGGCTTCTCGCCCAAACATCAGGTAGTAGGGGGAAAACCAGGTGGCATCGTTACGCTTACAATTATACGCGTGTACCATGAGAGCTACATGCTGGCTCCACTGATGCTTTTGGGAGGGGTCCAGAGTAGCCAACATTGAAAGAAGGGTCCGGTTAAACCGTTCCGGCTGTGGGTCTTCCTGAGGGTGATAGGGTGATGTTCTTGTCTTCTTTACTCCCAATAAGACCAAGGTCTCCCTGATGAAGCGGCTCTCGAAATCCCTCCCCTGGTCAGAATGGATTCTGGCTGGCAATCCATAATGTACAAAAAACAACACCTTGGCCACAGTGGGGGCTTTTTGATCTTTCGTGGGAAATGCTTGCCCGTATCTGGTAAAATGATCAGTCACCACTAGCACATTAGTTATCCCTCGTGAATCGGCCTCTATGGACAGAAAATCTATGCAAACTAAATCCATTGGGCCACTGCTGGTCATTTGGTGTAATGGCGCCGTGCGATGAGGCAACGTTTTATGCGCCACACATCTCCCCCAGGTTTTTATATAATGGGCCACATCAGCTCCCATTCTAGGCCAGTAAAACCGATCTCTCACCAGTTCTACGGAACACTCCACTCCCAGGTGACCCAAATCGTCATGGAGAGACTGCAGCACCTGTGAACGAAACTTCTCAGGCAGAACCAATTGGAGGCTCTTCTTTCCATCTGGCCTACTCACCTGTTGGCAGAGCAACTCGTCCTTTACTAACAGCTTCGATACTTCTCGATGGAACAACGAGACATCAGGATGGTCACCAGGTGTAACGCTTGGCCAAATCCCACTCTCCAGTGCTCTTTTGACCATACTGATGATATCATCTGTCCCTTGAGCTCTCCTCAGCTCAGCCAAACTCATCTCAGATGGTGTGAGGGAAAGGCGTGTGGGATAAACATATAGGTCTGGGATCATACTGGGAACAACCCCCAACTGCTAACCCCTGAAACTGAGAGACAGAGACTTTACGACAGATAGCCTTTACCCCCGATGGGGGAATCCATTCCTCTTTCTCCACAGGGTTTCGGGACAATGCATCAACATCTATGTTCCCCCGGCCCGGCCGATACTATATGCCAAAGTCATAGGTAGCTAAAGTTACCAACCACCACTGCCCGGTAGCATTCAATTTTTTAGTGGTGAGCACGTAAGTGAGGGGATTATTGTCGGTTCGCACTGTGAACCGCACTCCATACAAGTAGTCATGAAACATCTCGACTATAGCCCACTTTAAAGCTAGGAATTCCAACTGGTGTACCAGGTAATTTCTCTCTGAGTTGCGCAACTTCCTACTTGCAAAAGCTATAGGACGCAGCCCTTCAGGATGTTCCTGATTAAGTACGGCCCCCAACCCTTCAAAACTGGCATCCACATGAAGCACATAGGGCTTACTGGGGTCTGCAAATGCCAGCACTGGTGAATGTGTAGGGCAATAAATGATTTTCTGAAAGGCTGCTGTGCATGCAGGAGTCCAACTCTCTCCAAAGGGTTCCGATTTCTTAAAGTAAAGTTGCTGGTCATTTGTCTTAGCTCTGCCCTTCTGAGTTGGCGTATAGCCCCTGGTGAGGTCGGTCAACGGGCGCAAGATAGCCGAAAAATTGGCAATAAATCGCCTGTAGTAGCCACAAAAGCCTAAGAAAGATTGGAGAGACTTCAGATCAGTAGGCTGCTCCCACTCTGCTACTGCCTTAATCTTCTCAGGATCAGTGGCTATGCCTGCTGCTGATATGACATGGCCCAGATATTTGACCTCACTGTGGCAAAACTGACATTTATCAATGGATACTTTTAACCCGTAATCCTCCAAACAGTCCAAAACCTTAAATAGGCGTTCCTCGTGCTCTTCCAGCATCCTGCTGAACACTGAGATTGTCTAAGTAAACAAGGCACTGCAATAAG